TCATCACCACAAGCTGCTAAAGAGAATGTGACATTTTACAGACACACCTCTTGAAAAACAAGATTAAAGTTCAAAGCATTATAATGAGATTCTGATTTATATTGGAGAGACTTACCGATGACAAAGGAAACAGATAGTTGCAGAGGCAGATGAGTCTAGATCAGACCCCTGGTGGGGTCACAAACTGACAACCCAAGTAGCTGCATTAGGGTTTTGTGATGAATGTGGGGTGTTGAGGAAAATGTACAGTACATTCATTTAAAAGGTTGTGATTTTAAAAATGCCCCAACAATTTGGAAAAGTAAGATTATTTTGACATGAATATGGATACATCAACTTGTTTCTGAACAGTTAACCGAAACCTCTTTACTATAATATATAAATATGTTTACATCAACTGTATTGCAAAAAAAAGAGAGATTATATAGCATTAGCATTAGCATTAGCAGTGGTGTAATGTCACTGTAAATACAGATCGGAGTCTTTTCTTCACATGACACTGTCTAATTCTACTCGACACTACATTTATTTGACAGCTTTAGTTACTGTAAAACTTAAATAGTTTATGCTGTTATAAGCTTAAACCACTGAACTCAACAGGCCTGTATTTGGGACAGGCTTTTAATTCCTTTCACACAAAACTGTTTCTCAACAAAGATGGGAAATCTTTTTTTTTTTTTTTAAATTTATTTAAACCAGTGTGAATATTACTTGTTTCAAAATTAGGCTTTGAATAACAATAATGAATCATTCATTTGATCTAGCTCTGACAGACCACCTCAGAGTGAGTGAGTTACGTCATTTTATGGCACCAACACAACACCACTTTATCCTGTTAAAACAACACTCACAACTTGGATTGAATATTATGAAAACCTCTTCTGATACTTTATGGCCACTTCAGCTGTTGGGAATCACCACTTTTTTTCCCATCTGTCTTCTTTACCAAGTCTGTAAATCTCAATGAATTACTGTCTTCTTCGGTGTGCATATTGTAGTTTCAGTGAAATGAACTGAACGATTAAATTGTGGAGAATCTAACCAAGCTAACAATGTGAAGCATCTCTATACTGACAAAAGTTTAAACACTTATATCTATGTGCCGTCGAAGCAGCTGACTAACCTTAGCTGAAGTGGGTAGCAAAAAACCTGTTTTATACATCCAAACAACTTCTATAAAAATCAGCTGCTTGGCAACCAGACCAGGCTTCTAATTGAGACAGGGGTTTATTTGTCAAAATGTGTAGCCACACCAGGCTTGTAAGAGGGACTGGGCGTTTTATTGGGTTGGTTAAGTTTTACAGTACTTAACAATTTAAGATTTTTACACACTAAACTTGTACAAGTTAGCTGTGGACGAAACAAACAATGTAAATGTGTTTCTTTGGGCTCTCATGACACCATTTTATACTCTTTTCAATATTTTTACAAACCTAATTATCAATTGAGGAAATATTAAGCACATTAAATACATAATGAAGATAGTCATTCGTTAATAGTTAAAAATGAGCTCCATCTTATCAAACGACAACACTCAAATATTATATTTTCCACAATCAATCAATCAATCAATCAATCAATCAATGAATCAACTTTATTTGTAGAGCGCTTTTCCTGCACGGACATGCAACACAAAGTGCTTTACAGAATTAAAAGCAATTAACACAATTAAAGAAAGAAANTCTAACCAAGCTAACAATGTGAAGCATCTCTATACTGACAAAAGTTTAAACACTTATATCTATGTGCCGTCGAAGCAGCTGACTAACCTTAGCTGAAGTGGGTAGCAAAAAACCTGTTTTATACATCCAAACAACTTCTATAAAAATCAGCTGCTTGGCAACCAGACCAGGCTTCTAATTGAGACAGGGGTTTATTTGTCAAAATGTGTAGCCACACCAGGCTAGTAAGAGGGACTGGGCGTTTTATTGGGTTGGTTAAGTTTTACAGTACTTAATAATTTAAGATTTTTACAAACTAAACATGTACAAGTTAGCTGTGGACGAAACAAACAATGTAAATGTGTTTCTTTGGGCTCTCATGACACCATTTTTCACTCTTTTCAATATTTTTACAAACCTAATTATCAATTGAGGAAATATTAAGCACATTAAATACATAATGAAGATAGTCATTAATTAATAGTTAAAAATGAGCTCCATCTTATCAAACGACAACACTCAAATATTATATTTTCCACAACATCATGTGCAAGATTATTCTTCAATATCATGTTCACTTGTTAATGTAGCGCAATATTATTTTCTCAGTCATAGGCAATACTACTACTACTCGTTGTTATGTCATATTCAATATAGCATTCAGGGCCAGCTCTAGCTCATTGGCTGCCCTAGGCGATACTGAGAAAGACCTATATTTGGGACCCAACCCAAACCCGATTCTGATTAAAACTTAAATATCAAAGATGACAGGGAATGCATACCTCTATACTTGGCTTTCTTCTCCCCTCTTCCTCTTTCCTCCGTTTTCGCCCCTGTGCACCTGATGGTTTGGACCTTTTCATTTTCAGAATTGACCTATGACCTGGATAGCAACATATCAACATGTGGCTGCAGCCTGGAGCCTCTCATACCACGACCTCTCCTATTGTATTTTAGGAATACTGGTAGAAAAGTTGTTTTAAACATAGTATTGAATCCTCTTTGATGTACTTTTGCTTTGTGTTGCCTTTACATGTTGTCCTTTCTTAAAATCATTTTATTTTCTTTTTTATGTAAAACACTTGGAGTTGCATTTTGTCTGAAATATGCTATACAAATAAACTTGCCCTGCCTTGCCTCAGTGTTATTGTGTGTCTCAGCTTGCAGGCTCTGTGGATATCTGCCTGGCACTGCTGCTTGTCTTCTATATATGTGTTAGTTGACACACATGTATGCACACGTACATGCATGCACAGTCACACTACAGGATAAGCAATTGTAACAATTTCCCCGTGATGAGTGACCCTGACTGTGGGAAACCACTGGTTGTTCTGTTGTTACTGGTTTTGAATTGTTAAATTGTTGTTACTGTACTTAGTGTTACCGTAATTTGAAGCATTCTCTGGCACAATAATTTCCTTTGGGATAAACAAAGTTATATTGAATTGAATTGAAACCCAGCTTTTACATTAATGTGTGAGTAATAATCAAATGATGTCATATATAATACCAGACTGGTACAGTGAAAGTGGACATTTTTCCAGTGCAGTACTTTTACTTTTAATATTTTAAGTGCATTCACATACTTTTAATTGAGGAAAATCTACATTGCAGGACTTTAACTTGTAACAGAGCATTCTTACAGTGTAGTATTGTTACTTTTACCGGAGTAGGGATATAAATCTTCTCCTGCTCCAAGCCCTGTCTGAACTGTGAGGTTGAAACACTCACCTGACATACTTGTTGTTGTGGGAGAGCAGTCAGCGATGATTAAAGTAAGTATGTAAAAGCCAAAAAACACAAGCACAGTAGAGACCAAGGGGGTAAAACCACCCAACGAGTCAGTGTAAGTGGTATGAGATGAATATATCATGGCGCGTCGGTGTACACAGCATGGCACAAATAGTGAACTTATTTTAGGAGAGGAGGCCGGGACCTTGTAAAACCTTGTGCAAATATTAAATCAGAAGAGAGTTTGCAGCGCATGCATCAGCTCTCTGTAGTGATGACGGTAGGTGCTTCTCAAAGTCAAGGAAGGATCCTTAAATGGCTGAATTTCAAGGAGGCTATGTCATCAAATCCCGCCGAAGGACTGTTCCAATATCAAGGATCCTTCAAATTCTACCGAGGACAGAGTCCTTCTTTCAAAGATGCATGTGGGTTACTCAAATTTAAAACATGAATTTTCCTTACATTGGACAAACAATTTGTGGACTGTGAAAATTAGATGTTTTTCTCCTATCTTGGGAAGAGTTGGACAACTCGTAATTTTTCTGTAAAAGAAGAGCAACAACTGGAAAACACTGGTGAATCCCAGTGGCAACAACAGAGTTAAACAGAGGCAAGGATTCAAAAATGCAGGCTCTCATCACAGCAGATCAGTAAAAACAAGTCTTTATTACAGTCCGGATCAGTAGCATTACAAGTAAACGTTCAACCATAAAAGTTGCTGCCGTTTGGCCCAGTGAATTAAGTTATTTTTTCTCAGTCTGCAGCTGCTGCAAGAGGCAGCAAAACATCCTTTCATTTTATAGTTACAGTCTACTAATATATGTAAAACTCTCCATGGTATAAACAGTGGTTACACAAGCCTCAAAACCAGCCACAGCTCAGCCCTGAGCAGAGTGACCGTCCGTTATTGACCAATCAACGGACTGCAGTGTTCACAGCTCCACCTTTTAGTACCAGATCTGTGTGCTAGGTACCCCAACAGAGGGGTGATCAAAACTGGGGACAATACAGAACGGTTCCATTGGTACCATCCACAACTTTTCACAGTGCAGAAAAAAAGCATACCAAACTGGACTGTACCATATTATACTGTTCGGTGGAAACAGGGCTTTATAGTCATCAGTACTGCAAAGGCCATGCCTACCTGAAAGGAGGTGGCAATTGAAATGGGACCCACTGCCATTAAAGGAAATCCCATTGTTGAGACCAGTGGTGTAGTGGAAGGTATACCCACCTCTTTTTCTGGCTGTTTACAGTAAATCCACCTCTCAGTCAAAAAGCTATTTGAATACATGGGAGACTATACCCACCACCTCTCGGCAACCACCTACCTATTAGTACACCCACCACCTTATAAACTACCACTACACCACTGGTAGAGACACTAACTTTTCAGTTGGATACATAGCTATTTTTTGCATAACCAAAATCATTAAGCACTAAATACAGTACAGCAGTTATTTTTACATAATTATTTGCTTCCCTAAGTGTGAGATAAGCAATGATGACAACTCTGTCACTGATGTGTGAATATGGACTGTATGAATATGGAAAAAAATAATAGTGTTTTGTATCCAAAGACAAATTTATTATGTTCAAGTGCAAAATCTAGCATCCTGTATCGAGCATCGGTGCAGAAGCCACTGTGTCCTCTTCATTTTTAAAGTCAACCTCTTTGGCACCATCTGCTGGTGCTCCCTGGGACTTTACTTTGAACACATCCCACCTCCCAGGAAGAATCCCCTTGTTAAACAGGAGTGAGGCCACATATGAAAACATGAGAATGGAGACCAGCGCACACAACATGCATATGGTCTTGACAGGAGAGCGCTGAATGTAAACACCATCCTCTAAAGTGCAACCTGGGAATTTAAGGATCACAGGAAGACCGAACATCGGCTCTCCACACAACAGTCTCATTACCACTGCAACAAGGTAGCCTGCGATCGCCCCATAACAGTTGGATACCTCTGTGAAGAGGACGCAGATAAGTTGGGGAAATATAATGGTGTAAGCCAGGTCTGTGCTCAGGATCCAAAACACCATCACACTGTTGCCGAGGGAGGTGAGGGATGTTCCCACAATCCCTGCAACCACTATGGAGAGACGAATCACCCACTGTAGCTCTTTATCCGATGCCTAAAACAGAGCATATAAAACCTGAGTATATAATCCTCAATGAAATATCTGTAATGCTATCTACAGAAGAAAAAAATTGCAAAGTAGTTTCTATGTAAATCCCAACATAAAATTATTATTATTTTTTTTTTTTAAGATATTTTTGGGGGGCATTTTTGCCTTTAATTGATAGTAACACACTCTGGCCACATGAGGTTGCACATTGTCCTGCACCAGGAGGAACCCAGGGCCCATTGCACCAGTGTAAGGTCTGACAATCGCTCTGAGGATTTCATCCTGGTACCTGACAGCAGTCAGGGTGCCATTGGCTTTGATTTGGAAGTCTGTGTGACCCTCCAAGGATATGCCTCACCAGACCATCACTGACTCACCATCAAACTGGTCATGCTGGATGATGTTACAGGCAGCATACCGCTGCACCATGGTATCTCCAAACACCTTCACGCCTGTCACATGTGCTCAGTGTGAACCTGTTCTCATCTGTGAAGAGAACAAGGTGTGGGCAGACCTGCCAATTCTGGTGTTCTCTGGCGAGTGCCATTCGAGCTGCACAGTGCTGGGTTGTGAGCACAGGTCCCACTAGAGGCCCTCATGCCACCCTCATGGAGTCTGTTTCTGACAGTTTGGTCAGAAACATGTACACCATTGGCCTGCTGGAGGTCATTTTGTAGGGCTCTGGCAGTTGTCTTGCTTTTGCCTCTCCATTGCACCTGTTGTCACTTTCATTTGCACCCAAGCAGGTGAAACTGAAACTGATTCACAATCATTTGTGCTTCCAAAATGAACAGATTGATATCACTCCTGAAGATTAAGTGACTTGGTGTTATACCATGACCATTAAGTGTTCCCTTAATTTGAGGCTGTGTAATAAAACTCCTCCTTGCTGCTGGTCATTGTACTGCACCTGACTCCTGATGGTCTGGTAGATGTTGGTGGTGAAGATGGTGGTTGCAGACAAAATGTTAGAGTCAGCAGATGACATCACTGCGGCAGCAATAACTCCGATGCCAAAAGCAGAAATGTAGCTTGGGGTTAAATTCTGAAGGATGATGGGCAACACCATGGCCGCCTCTCCTCGTTCATATGGAGAAGGAGAACCATATGAGGTGGAGTTCCAGTCTGAAATATAGAAGCCAGAACACACAACAATAAATGCTGATTTCCCAATGTGGAATGTTGGAGACAGGCTCCCAACAATAACTTTTAGCAGCATGGCCGCCACAACTACCCTGATATGACAGATTCCTAACAGATAAACAGTCACGATTACCTGTTGAAGCTGCAACAGCTCCAATCAGCACGGATGGGATTCCAGCAATGATCACGGCTACTGCCGCCATAAAACAAATGATTCTGGCTGTGGATGTGGAGCTGGAGGAGAGAGTCCTTTGATGGAAATCCTGAATGGCCATATTGCCCATAGTCTAGAAAATAAAACATGGGAGACAAACAAAGCCACTGTCTATTGTCATGTTATCAATGTAGACATTATATTTTAGGAACGTTTCTGAAAATGATGACAGCAATAATGAAAAGTTATCTGTTGGACTAAAAAGGCCTTATAGCCCTATCTTCCAGACCTTCTGTAGGACATAGTTGCAGCAGATTCACTTAAACAAATGAAGAACAAACAGGTTTAATGTACACCATCCAATTTTCCCATCTTTTCAAAAACTTGTCCTGTTGCAGTCCAGCATACACTGTACGATTTTTGACCGGATTTGACCCGATTTTTGAGACGCACAACCTGCCGTGAAATTTTGGTCGGCTGGTGTGCCGGATTAACTGGTGTTGAATCAACTGGTGAGACAGATGTGTGGTAGGCGTGGCCTTTGTGAACCCGTTGTCAGCTAACCAGGAAATAAACATTGCGATCGCTTTGCGTCTGTATTTCATTCATCTAAAGCTGTCGTTTGCAACAAAGATGATTCAGTATACTGGTCTGGACATCATTCACATTAACGAATTGCCGTTTCCACTGATATCCTCCATAGACACATTGAGCCACAGAGATGTCAAGCCAAGACGAGAGCCAGGAGAGCACGATTCCCTGTGACGTTCAGCAAAAACTTCACAATAACGTAATAAAAACCTGAATGCATCCAAAATGTGAGCGGGTTGATATGTTAAACTCACATGATTTAAGTCTATAGGCTACAATACTAACGTTAGTCCGTGCCTCTGATGATTAGCGTTTCCTACACCTGTGCGCACCTGTGCATCCAAATCGCTTTAAAATTAGAGTTCACAGTCATGTGAAATGTTTATGAATGAGTTTAAATGAACTGTAAAGAATATCGCTGTGTTGAGCGAAATTACAGTGTGTAGCATTTGGTGTAAAACACAATCGATGATGGTATCACAAGTTAATCTGAGCGGATCACATGTTCCCACAGTGAGCTGCTCCACACTACACGCCAATACTTGTGACTGTAGGTGTAACTCGCAGGCTGTGGGAAAGCACAGACAGCTCACAGATCCACTTGATATGGAATTAATAATGATAGCCTATATGATAAAGACTGATGACAGGAACATTTTGTATCCGACTTACTGGCATTTACAGTTTTGTAAACAGGCAAGACACACTGCAGTCAAGAAACCTACGCTGCCCAGTGCATTGTCATCACAATTCAATGTAAAGAGGCCTACATAAAATATGTAAAAAATCCCACAAAGTTTTAAATTAACTGGTCGGTAGATGTTTGCGTGAGGCTGTGGTTTTGATGCAGATCTCAGAGAGGCATATAATGACGAAGTATCGATGACAGTTCAAAACACGGCGAGCGTCAGCAAATCTTTTAGACTCAGACTCAGACAACTTTATTAATCCCACACGGGGCAATTGGTTTCAATCAATCAATCAATTTTATTTATAAAGCCCAATATCACAAATCACAATTTGCCTCACAGGGCTTTACAGCATACGACATCCCTCTGT